CAGGTTATTCCTCATAAAGAGCCAACAGACACACAGCATTTGGGAGGCCTGCTTCTGCTTTCCACATTGCTGGGCCTTCCTTTATGCTGTCTGCAGAGTGTCTGCAGAAGCGTGCACTCTCCCTCATGCAGTCCTGTTTGCTTTGCTGAAGCAGCATCAGTGGTGGTCCTTGCCCATCGTGTTGCTAAATATGTCTTATGCAGGCTCGACAGCTGAGATTTAAATTGCTTCTTGTCACTATTCACTTAAGCCTGAATGCAGGTGTTGCTATTTACCATAATGAGGTTTTACCTTTTTCTTTATTCACTCTCTTCCATTTTGTGCCTTGTATAGTTTCTTTTGCACCGATGACACATTTCCACAGTGAAATGACATGGCATAGGGAAACAAGTGGAAGCAAAGACTGGATGATCTCAAATCAAGTGAGAAACCCAGCAATGATAAAAGCTTCCCACAATCTCGGAGCTTACGCATTTGTGTGTGTGGGTGGGCATATAAGAAAGGAAAAATATCTTTAGTTTTGAAGTCTCAGATCCTTTGCAACAAGATAATGATTTCAGGCTGAAAGCAGCATTTGACTGATCTTCTAATGGAATTCTTGGACAGAAAAGATCTATTCAGAGGGGTAGAAATTAGAGATAGCTGATAACAACACTGACCTGTGTTACATGACACTGAAGCTAAGTCTTTGTGGACATAGTTCTGTTTCAGAATACTGAATGCCATTTTCTGGTTACAAATCTAAATGTAGTTCCAAATTCTCTCCATAAAAAGAGAAGAAACATTTACCGACTCTCTCATTATTATTTTTTAACATTGCTCTGCATGAATTTGCCTTTCTTCATCTGTCAAGAGACTTTCTTGAAATTAGATAATTTATTCAGGATGAGGGAAATGGTTTTAAATGGAATAGATTTAGACTAGATATCAGGAAGAAATTCTTTTCTATGAGGGAGAGGAGACGCTGGAACAGGTTGCCTAGGGAGGCTGTGGATGCCCTTCCCTGGAAGCATTCAAGGCCAGGCTGGATGGAGCTTCAAGCAACCTGGTCTAGAGGGAGGTGTCCCTGCCTATAGCAGGGGTTTTGGAACTAGATCATCTTAAAGGTTCCTTCCAACACAAACCATTCTGTGATCCTATGATTCCTCTTTCCCCAGTAAGGATTTGGGAATAAGTAGTTTTTCTTGAAAAGCTTTATTGGTTCAGTAGTTTCATATTAGTACAACTGTGTTACAAATTAAATTATACCTTAACTTGCAGAAGGAACTTTAAACAGATTGTGATTCCCTTAGTTGTTGTCACAAGTGTTTCTGTGGACATTTCCAGATCTGCAAAGTTTGACTTTCCAGCTCAAAGTGATCCAGGATAGTGATACTAGGAAATCAAAGTAAGAAAAACAAGTCCATATGGAAACGAATGTTATTTTTTGCTTTTATAAAAATAATTGATTAATCCTGTGATGTGCCACCAATGAGTCCATGCCTCCTTAACTATTAGCTACATAGCTATAAGTTGCCCAAAAATCCAGCCTATTTAACCATGGCTGCTGCTGATCTGCAGTCTTGCTGTAACTATCAGTATCCAAAAGGGTTGATCTGAGTTTAGTGCCATGTAGTGCTCCTCCCTGTGGTACACAGTGTCTGTAAGTGCTAAAGATTCAGCGGCCTGAGTGTTATTCTGTGGAGAGAAAAGAGATGGCTTTTAAATCAGGCTGCAAAATCCAAAGATGTGGTGAAAGATGATGGTGATCACAGCAGAAAGCATCCAGCATTCCTGCAGAACAGCCTTCTCCTGGGGGAGACACGTGGTGATTGTTCCTTGTTAAGACTTAGACATTACTCATCTTCATGTGCTGATTATTCCAAAACTGCTGAATTCCCAAGCATCTGTACTTCTGAAGCAATCTCCACTGCTGGAGACAGAGTGCTTGAGACAAGCATCTGGACAAAATGCTGGAGACGAGCTGTGAGCACATCTAGTGAATCCTTTCCTATAGCTCTCTTTTCAGTTAGACACTTGCTTTCCCCAAGGTGAAGCTGACATATTTTCCAAGCAGAAGCCTTTCATAAACAAAGAGTTTTGACCCATGGGATCCAAGACTATGAAATATTAATATGATGTCATGAACTTCTGAAAGTGACCGAGAACAAAGAAAAGTGTTGGACAAAGCATCTCTAGAAAACTCCTCTGTCATCCATCTTACTCATATTTTACCTTATGGTCTTCCTGAGAAACCTAAATCTTGCTGTGATATGATTTTTGCCAAAACTGTCATATGAGATTAGTGGAATTGTTGAATAATGTTATCAGAGTTGTGCTTGTTAAGATTTATATCATGACAGCCTTCAAAATGTTGTGGCATGCCAAAGGCCATTTAAGGCAGAATAAATGAGCTTAAATGAGAAGAGTGCCATTGAATGGTAACTCAGAGAAGTTTCACTCCAAATGTCCTGAAAGAGAGGAGCCGTTCTGCTCCAGCAAATGGAAGGATGTGTCAGGTTAAGAATGTAAATGTTTGGAAATGCCATTGTGAACAAAAGAAAGGAGAAAAATTGAGCAGGTTTCTTTTTTTGTGGAGGTGTCCAGTTTCACAGAAGTTAAGGTCTTTCTCTTAAGAGTACCCATATTTGCAGTTTGCAAATTGTGCCTGAAGTTCATATAGTTAGTGCATGCCTCAAGGATTTGAGATGTCAGCTGGGAAAGAAATTTGATACTAAAATTGCATTTTTGTTTTTGTTTCTCTCTTTGTAGTCTTCTTTCTCATTAAATAATTAAGATCCTAGCCTATTCCTTTGCTAGAATTAAATTGTATACTTTCACATTTAATCTGCTTGATGTTGAGCAAATTGAACTGAAGCTAGCAGACACAAAGCAGATTTGTTCTCCAGTGAAAATATACCTGTTTAGAACAGTAAATGGAGGAAATCTCTTGTGTGTGTCTGCCATTTGAGTTGAACTGACAATTGAATATGTTTCCTACTCCTCAGGAGTGAATTTGAAGACTGGCATTACCAGCTGTGGAGTGCTAGGAACAAGTCTCTGTCAGTGGAGATCGACAACTCATAAGTAGGTATTGTTCAGTCATCACAGTGAGCTGCAGAATTTCAGAGATAATTGTTAAGAATATGAAATTGATTAAAATTCATCATGTATTTCAACAAAATATTTTGATGCTACACAAATAGCAGTGCAGACAACGAGGTCTTTATTTCCCATGCATGGTTTTCCATGCCTTATACAACATATACAACTCTTCATAATTTTTTCATTAAAACCCCAGTAATTAGATCCCACTTCACTAAGACTGTATGTTCTGCTTGTCTTCAAACAAGCTAGCAATAAACAAGACCTTCCTGCTGATTATACTGTGACACGTTGCTAACATCCTAATAAAACCATCCAGATAGAATAAAGGCTAGTAAGGGATTTCGGAGTCCTGGGGTCTGTCTGCAGCCTCATTACGGAGGCAGCAAGTAGAGGGAGAAACTCTCCTTTCTTATGCCATGTCTTCCTACTCTTGAGAAATCTCTGAGCAAAGGTGTGTCCCCAAGAAAAAAAATATATATAGGTGTAATTTCAGTGGGATAAAAAAATTAGTTTAGTGTATTTGTGTGCTAATAGAGAAGAAGAAATCTGTACTGCTGAATGTGATGCAGTTTTAAAGGAAATGGAAGCTGGAAGATGCAAGTTAAGACCTCGAACTACAAAAATAGCTGTAGAAGCAAATACGTAATGTGACATTACACAAAAGGATTAGTGGGAGTGAGAGTAATGTTAAACTTTGCTCTTTAATAGGCAGTGTGAGACACAGTCACGCTCAAAAGAACCAGATTCAGATATAATCACTGCATCTTCATCTAACTGACAGACCCCATGCCTATAGTTGAGCAGAATGGCTCACCTTTGAGTAGAGAAAAATTACATTCATCAGGTTTGCAGTCAGAGCACAGAACTGGATGAGTATCTTTGAAAAATGGCCTTACAGCTTGAAGACACTGAGAAAAGCTGCAGTGACCTACTGATAATATTAGCTTAGAGCAACTACCAGCAATTTCTTTCCTTATGTAAAGAGGAAAACACGGGTATTTGAACAATGATCTCTGGAGGTAAGAGATGAGAACTTTCAGGCTGTAGAGAGGCAAGGCACGCAAGGAATCAGCTGTCATCCCTGAAGGCAGGACACGGTGGGGTGACATTCAGCTGCCTCATCAAACGGAGGAGTACCTCACCACCCAGCTGGAAAGTGTTCATTCAGCAGCTAACCCACTGGCTGCCTTTGATTAGACAAGGGTTGTCCCATAGAAACGGCACTGCCCTCCTGCTAACTATTTCAGGAAAATTACACTCGACTGATCGTTGGAGAGAAGGGGCTTCGTGGTGTAAATGCATGGCAGTAACAGGCATCCCTCATCTGAGCAGATGGAAAACTTGTACTGATGGCTGGAAGCACTGAAACAGCCACTCAGGAGATTCAGCCTACATCCCAAAGGGGCAAGGCTGACTCAGACACACTGGCCGTCATACTGCAACAGCTTCCAAGTAAGGGCAGGGAAGCAAGAGCTTGTTAGTTGTTATTCTCCTTTGACCAGAAAGTAGGGATCTGCCCCTTCTGCAGAATCCCTCTTCCTCCTTGTCCAGTATGAATTTCCATCTGTGTTTTATTTGGAGACGGAAGGTACAGACAAAATATTCAGACCTGTGTCCTCAGAGCAGTGCAATGTGTGTGAACATGCAGCACGTTTCTGCAAGTTAAATTTGTTTCTAATTCTGTATTTGAAAATGAGCTTAAATGCTAGTGGTGATGTAATGTTCATTTACATTTAGATTCTGTTTCTATTTATTTTAATTCCTATTAACTGGATCTAGATTCTAACAATGTGGGGTTTTTTATCCATCCAGGCTCTCTTTGACATGAACAGCTCATTTTTTTCTTATAGGCTGCCAAATTTCATGCCTTATTGATTCAATAAAGGAAGAAGAATGACAGGTAGAAGGGGAAATGGATGTTTCCTCCCCAAGGGGAGATTTACAAATTTCATACGAACTGTTCCTGTAGGAAATGCTTTCTCTGATTGCCACAGAAATGGCTGTGGAAGGAAAGAGGTTAGAGGGTATGGTTCACTTCAGATTTGTCCAGGATATGCATAGCTGAAGATGCACTTTGGTTTTAAGATAACTCCTGTGCCATATTCCATAAACATGAACTGCCTGTATGTGAGATGGCTTAAAAATAACTGGAAATCTCTCATCTGCAGCCTGTCTTTTTGCAGTTCTTTGCTCTTGGTGCTGCTGAGTGCTCAGACACTCCAGAGCGATGCTGGAGGTAAGAGCTACCAAAGAACACTGCAAATAGTTATGCCCTCTTCTACAAACAGGCACACTGTTTGAACCTGCATTTAGCAGGAGTTCAAGCAGTTTCTCAGTCCCTTAATAGCTACAAGGCATAAGGCAAGGACAAAGGAGCCAGGGCATAAATTAACACGCATGTGGAAATCCTGACTCAGAAAAGCATGCTAGGGGATCAAGGCAAGGCCTAAAGTGCTTCTGAGCACTGGGTTCATTTATTCACCAGGAAGATCAAGGAGATTTATCTTCAGAAGAAGCAGAAGTAATAACGTGGTCATCAGCAAGATTTCTCCAAGTACTTACTCCCATAAATATCCACTGGGACGATAGAGTTCCCTAATGGAATGGTGTTGAAAGAGTTGCCAGAATAATTAGTTTTCTATTAGGATACACAAGACATTTGATACCTTTCAAAACTGTTGTTTTGGTCTCTCCACAGGCACAAATACCGTGGTTATTCTGGATTTGCCTACTTACATTTTTCTTCAGAGCAGAGAGGTTTACAAGAGCCCTATTTTTAATTTAAGATCCTGAGATAATTACATGACTTCAGTAGGCAAGAGACTCATTGTACTGTGACTCAATCCAGGCAGGCATGCAAGTAAGAGACTAGACAAGGCACTAAGAAATAATAAGAAAGCTCTTTTTTGTACACAAAAAGTCACATTAAACTCGTATTAAAAAGGCTGGAAATTGAAGAACTTGGCAATCACAAAACAGCAGAATGGAGGTTGATTCTACAAATGTTAATTAGCCCTTTTGCCCATTTATATTATTATAAACCCCTTAATTACCTGATCAGATCTTTTTCCAGAGGACTTCTGTCTTGAGGTTAGATATCACTGCCAGCTTTTTTTTTTATCATTAGCTTACTTTTTAACAGGGAACATGAACTGAATGTAGCAATTGCTTTCCATTAATTTTTCTGTTTTATGGTGATCTGTTCTTATAGTACAAGGCTGCAGGGAATACCAGAGAGCACACCCCACACAAAGAACCCTATCCTGCAGCTTTCCACAAGTCTGGCAGAGAAGGTATGACTTTCTGTAATTTATTTGTGAGATTTTGTGATACTAGTAGTCTCAGAAACATTGATCTCAAGTAACCAGCTTTGCTCATAGTAAGGAAAGTTGCTGTGCAATTACTTCTGTGCTTGAGAATTTCCAGTCTTTCAGACATAATGAGCATATTTACCAATGGTGTAAGCTGAAGTAGCTCCTACAAACTTTGGAAATTTATGTACCAAGATGAAATTTGATCCTTTAGGTAGATTCAGTCAGATTCACAGACAGGAATTCATCAAATCCTGAAAGACAGTTTTATTTGGTTATAACTTTTATTTCCTCACAGTTTTTTTGCTTACAATTGAGCATGTCTCAAGCTACCTGCCTCTTTATTTTCCACTTTCCTCTTTTGCTCCTCTCTCTCCATTGGAACTAATGAACTCATGGGGGAAGAAAATATACCTTGTGTAATAAGCTTCCTTATCAGAAATCCCTCCATATCCACTGTGCATGCTGCTCAGATGAGCATGTGAACAGGACAGCCACAAATACTGAGACCCATGGTTTGAGATGTGACTGGGAGTTTTGTTCACTACATACTGGTCTGAGACTGGCCACATACTTCCTTGTGCCTCTAAGTAGACAATGAGTCCTTTAAATAGCTGATACCCTGTCCTGCTTTTTGTGTCATATATACCAGTCTTGAGCTGGAGTGGAGGGCAGACACGGAGCCAGACATCATCCTTCACAGAGCTGGCAGCCTTCCTCCCTCCTGATCTCAGCCCTCTTGCTGTTGTTGGACAGCATGGCTCCCAGCTGAGGGGTAGGTGCAGAAGTCAAAGCAATGTTTCTTCCAAGGATCGTCTTCTTTTTCTCTGCTTCCAACACCAGCTTGAGAAAATCAACTGTCTCCCTTTGATCCTTACAGACACCCTGCCTGAAGGAACCTTGTCTTTCATTTGATGATCATTTCTGCAGAGAAAGAAAAGAAGTGGATTGTGTCTTTGCCAAACACAGATAGAGCAACAAGCACACATATGAGGAAAGGCCATGTGTGTGGACTAAAAAAGTCAACAGCAAACAAAGGCATCTAATTTACAGAAGGGACTGATTCTCTTCTCTTTCCCAGTCCTGCGTTTTGTAGAATGGGGCCCTCTGTTTTAGCCTGATAATGAGTCCAGAATGTAGTGCTAGCACTGCCAGACAACAGACCTTAAAGTTTTGTCAGTTTTTTAGCAGACACAACAGACTTCCAGCCCTTTTGCCTGAAGCTTTGATTAAACTCTTACTAAAGTTTCCCTTTGTTGATATATTCCCTTTCAGGCAAAGGTGAAGAGTAGGGAGAAAAACAGCCTGTGTCTGAGCTCCCATCCCTGTGCCTAATAATGCCATAGAGATCTAAGCCACTTGTTGCCTTTCCCTGCTCCGTGTCTTGTCTGGCTGGGTCGTGTGGCTTATGAAGTGCCTTGCTTAGTGAGGGCACTGACTGAGATGATTGACAGCTTTTCTGTATCAGAAGACCGAACTGCTCAGTCCACTGCAGGGAACTTTAAAGCCTTTGGAAAGAGCAGAATCTCCACTGCTCGCAGGAGGCCATTAGTGATTGTCTGCTTTTGAATCTAAGTTTAGGATGTACCATTAGGACCCCAGATAACCTTATCAGAGATGTTAAAAGGAGTTAGCAAGAAACTCTTGCTGATTGATTCTCATCTGACCACAGGAGCAAATAAATAAATACATAAATAAATAAATACATAAATAGAGATGTAGATAGAGGGGAAAATACCACCACATGAAGGGCTCTGACATGCATTAATAGATACTAGATGGCAATATGTTAATAACAGAGTGTCAGTGTTTATCAGGCAGTATGTGCTGGATGAAAAATCAGATCACGGTGCTGATAGCGAGTTCAAGAGACATGTTCTAAATTGGCTGCAGATTGTAATTAGCTTTTTCTCTTGCCCTGTATTTTTTTATCTTTCCTCCTCCCATTCTGATATGTCACTCACACATCTTCTCCTGCCAGGATTCAGGGGTGAAGCGGAGCCATTTCTGATCTTTCACCATGACTAGTCATTCCCGAATCTCGTTAACGTTGTCAGATCTTATCAGAAATGTGACACAGATGTCTGCATCAGCCCTCTGCCTGTCTGTGTCTGCCGCCACACAGAAATGTGGGGACAGAAAGCTGTGGCACCTCTGCCTGTTATCTTTAGCTAGCAAAAGTCATGGCAGAAAAGGCGTGTTAAACTTTTCCCGTGTATAATTCTTGCAGAACTTGCATAGTGCTCTAACATAATAGAAAGAGGAAAGGTAACTTTTTGATTTATTTGCAATTGAAGGTTTCTTCTTTCAGGTAGCCATCAGTGTAAGATGCAATTGCTGCTCCGTTGCAGTCTGCTGTAGCTTGGAGCACTTGGATGGAGTGCTGCTTGGCTGCAGTCACAATGCAGTGAGAATGCTGCTACCATTTAATCCTAATTACCTTATGTGGTGTTACTACATCATGTTAGCTTCATTGAACTGTGTAACTATACCCATAACCCAGATTTCAGCTTACTTTGTGCTAAATTCTCTTCTTGCTACCCTGTAAAGGAGTGGTTCCACTGAGCTCTGCAGAAGGATTAGGCTTTGTAGGTGAGGCAAAAAGTGGGTTCGCAGCTAAGTCTCTGCTTGCTTTTATTCTTTTTTTTTCTTTTCCACCTAAGTCTGCTTCTCTTCAAACTAATCCAAGACCTTTAGTATTAATTCTGAAGTGTATACGAGGTTTCAGCAATAGGATCTGGGCTTACGAGTCTCGGCTACCCATCACTTGGCTTACAAGATGAGATAGCTCTCACTTCTTACCTCCTGTCCATGTGTCTGGATGTTTTAATGATCCAGGAGAGATACTGGAATGTATTTGGATGAGGAAGGAAGATAAAGATACAAAAGGAAGGCTGGGAAATGTGTATGCAAGAGCCTCCATGATAGCTTATTCCTCTATCTGCACAGTAGAGCATTAAGTAAGACTTCCAATCTCCTGGGCTGCACCAAGCTCCTTTTTAAAAAATCTTAGTATTTCACTGACCACGTTGGGGCAATGTCTCAGACCGGAGAGAGGTTCCCAGATACTTGTGGAGAAATCTAGTAATTAAAATATAGACTTTAATCAGAAGGCAGGGAAAAACATAAAATTTGGAATTCATGCACGCTGCAGCTTCCAAAACGTGATGAATTGCTGGTACTTGCTCAGGAAGAAAGAAAACTTGTTCATACTGCTTTAGTCCTAGTGTCAGTCAGTGAAAAAACACCTGATTTTCCTGAAATTCCCTACTATGACTGTGGATCTTTTGAGGGGAAGGGCAGAAGCAGAGGAGATGCTTTGTGCTGAAACACATAATGAAAGTGATGAAGATGAACAGTCACAGAGGTTCTACAAAACAGGGATAACATAAACTATACCTTGACATCTTATCTAAATTTAAGGACCAGTGATTGAAATGTCTGCACAGAGTGAAGCCAGCCTGAGAGATATTACAGGTTTGAGGAGTGTAAGCATATATCAGTGCCCTGGCTGGCTAACCTTGGGATGCTGTGCTTGGGACAAGAGAAAGATTACTGACTATTAGCTGTGAAGTTTATTACAAGGAATAAGGCAGCTGAGGAAGGGAAGAGGTGTGTAAAGTGGTAGGGATGCCGCCTCTTAACAAAGCAGATGAAATAACTGATTTCTACTTAAGCAGTGCTCAGCAGAGAGGCTGTCTGCCTCCATTTTCTTCTTAACATCTCACTTCTTATTATTCATGTTGTCTCTTTGTCAGTGGCAGGAACACACTGCAGTGCAAGAATGTGTTCTGTCTACCCATGGTGCATGGCACTGCTAGCTAAGAAATGAGATGCTCAGAGAGGCATACTAAAATACAGGAGGATTTTAAATTTGTTTTAGATTAAATTTGTTTTAGAGGACAGCAAGCTTGCATACACCAGATCTCTTCCCCTTGAATGGAAAGCAAAATATCAATCTTTCCTTTAAAAAAGGATTTAAATTGTGAGACAAATGAACATGAATGCCTCCCTCTCTTTTATTTTAGGAAAAAAGACTGACTAGGAAGCTAATTAAGTGGTTGGTTAACTTTATGCATATAAGTAGCTTCATTTGATTTTAGGTTAAGTTGCTGCAGCTTCCTATTTGAAGGCATGAGCAGAAAGGCAGGCAACTAAATCTCCATAAAAATGCTATTAATCTTGAGAGGACCTTGAATGGCTCCTGCATTCCCCAGTGGGGCCTTTCCTGCTATTTTCTTTACACAGTCTCAATTCTGCTTTGCGCTTTTGTTTGTGTGCCAGTAAAAATACAGTAATTTGAGAAGAACCACGAGCCTTCCTTGTAATAATAATCTGCAGCTCCTGTTGAATAGAAATAGAGCTGGGAAGCATGTTATGAATGTGATCTTGGCTCAGCAGTGCTGCAAGTGTATGGACATACCAGCCAGTAGCTTAAATGAGATGCCTGTCAGATTTCTTTAATGCATGGTGGGTAAATTCTGAAAAAATGATCCATCATATGAGATTGCTGTAGTTCTGCAGTAAAGTCACACAGTGTCCTTCATCATGGTCTTCTTGTGCAGGAAGACACAACCTTGTGCTTATTCATAATAAAGAAGATAAGATTTTTGTGTGTTCACTTAGGGACAACAGATCAATCTATATTATGTAGTTTGCTCCAAAAGTAATGCCTCCTATTTATTTCCATGGAGACTACAACGGAGACAAAGGGCACAGCAACTATTTGATAGAGCAGATTCTCAGTTACAAAACGCTGTTTTCTCATAGTCACCACCATTAGCTGTGCATTTTCACCAGTAATGAACAAGAGCCAGTGTTTCACCACCCACCACCTTACTGTGCTCACATCCACTGTAGGTATCCATAAATGTTCAGCATGCATCAATGAATGTCAATGGGTGCCATTTTTTTTACACTGAGGAATTAAATGACGCACCATTGCTTCAAACACACTTCCATGTCAGACACCATTTTGCCAGACTGCCGCTCTGCTGCTATCTGTTGCATGGCAGCAAAATGTATCAGAATATTGCCAGGAAGGTTTAACCTCTGCTGCCATACGAGCAACATCCACCTCTAACATCATGGGCCAACATCATAAAATAGGAGGCATTGCTTTTGGAGCCGCCCTCGTGTATTTTGGATGTGAGCTTGGGTCAGCGGGGCCTTCCTGTCTGTGTGGATGCAGGCTGAGCACTCTGGTGAGCACAACCTCCTCATCTGCCCTACAGTGGTGTCACAGAGCTCGGGCCATGGGGTAAGTAAGCATGGGGGCTACGACAGGTTTTAGGATTTTCAAACAAAATGCCAAATGCTTTAGATTTGCATCCAGTCAGATTGATATGCTACAGCATCGAGCAAATCGCTCAGCTCTCTTTCATGTCCTGTCTTGCACAATTCAGGCTTTCTGGGCAGAGATACCCAGAATGTTGTGCCGATCTTGTGGGACTTGTCACTCTGAGATGTCACTCACTGGTGGCTGTGTGGGTGGCTGCTTGTGTAGGGCAGGCAGAGAGACTGTGGAGCCACAGGTGTGAATCCAACGATCTGTAATCAGCAAAGCAGAAAAGTTAGCAGAAGGCAGACGCTGAGCCAGAAGTAGCAACAATGCAAAAATATATTCAGAGGGAGCGACAGCAAAGGGAGAGGCAGAAAGAAGACGAGGCGTTGGATGGAAGTGAAGGTAGCAGTGGTGATGGCTCCTCCTGGGGTGCTCAGCAGGACCGGCCATGGACACACCTTTACCTCTCTGTACCACAGCCATGAACAGAGATGCCACTGACATTAGCAATTCATTGAGCTTTCAGGAGGATTTAGGATGGAAAAGCACACTCATTCCCACAAGCCCCCTCCAGTACTGTCTGTCGCTGGCAATGGGTGAGCTGCTAGTCATTTGTTTGGTTCAGCTGTTTTGCCTGCTGCTTAGGCTTAGTGGAGGTTTTCTGTTTTTTAAAGAAATGCAGCTGTTGTTTTGGTGGCAGTAAAGAGGTAAGGTTCCATTACAGTGCCTGAAATGTCATCTCCTGTTTAGTTTTAATCCTGGGCTGTGCCATAATGTGTGATGGCAAAGACTGAAGAAGAGGGTGATAAGCTAACGTTATGAACAGCTGTATTATTACCTGCATAGTGTTCTCTGTTTCCGAGCGCTGTCTAAACCTATGTGTGTTTAATTTATTGTATTTCTTTGAGTACACTTCATACTGTTTGCGTGTCTCTGGGAACTGTACTGAAGGAATCAGGCAGCCTTCTCCTCCCTGTTCCATTTCCACAAGGTTTTGTTACAGTCAGCTGGGGAGCAGCGGGGAGTTGTGTCTCCCTAGGGAAAGCCTGTTACAGTAAGGCTCGGTTTTTGCTCTGACTTTTATACTCAGATACTTCATTGTGGGAGTTGCAAGGTGCCAGGCTCGCAGGTGTCAAATGGCACTTTGCCAGCATTTGAGATGCGCACAGCAGTTCAGCCACATGTCTGGCTGGGCTTTTTGGGTAATTCTAGAACAGGCTGGTAGAGAAGGTTGGCCAGTGACAAAGAAATCACTCCTGCACTGGTACAGGTGGTACATTATTTATTACACGTTTAGGAAAACAGGCCAAGTTTACCAGTTCACACCAGACCAGTGGCACTGGTGGTTGACAGGCAGCAATCTTGATTCCTTGCAGCAGCCATCTTTACTGGGAGCTGATGCTGTCAGGTTGTGCTGGCAGTCAAAATGCTGATGTTTCAGAAAGTGCAGGTGGTCATGTGACACGGTTTTAAGGGTATTTTAAGTCCAGGGCCTTGGCCTCTTGTCAAAGAGTGCTGATACATTGCACTGTCCTCACACACAGCTTCATTTTTAATATATATTTCTCATTTCATTGCCTCTTTCAGGCTGCTACATGTAGGCTGCAGGTGTCTGCCCTCTGTGAAGTGGATGGAAAGCAGAGGATGCAGGCTGGGGTCTGGATGGTGATGTGCTGCTGCTCCAGGTAAGACCAGCATGTGCGTGGCTGCCGTGGGTCTGAGCCCAGGCAGGAGGAGAAGCCTGAGCCTGCAGAGAGCTGGGAGCAGGGCAGCGGTCTGGAGGGCTGGCACTGGTCTGTACTGCCTGCTGAGAAGGAAATTCATCTGCAAAGTGAGTTTTGATCTCAGCAGAGCTGTTTCTGCTGAGACCCTGGGAATGATGGCAAGGTGATTATGGGGTAGACGTCCATATCAATGAAATCAGCGGTACACCGTGGCTTTAAATTATATTACCTTATGAGTGTGCATGCACATGGTGAGGAGAAAATGAGAAGATACTGAATTTTCTAGAAACAGTTGTATGCAACTGCAACTTACTGTTATTTTAAGCTGACTTTATCTCCAGTGTTTGCTGGCACAGAAATCTCAAGAAACACAACTGCTCATTCAGCATATCAGTGTTTTCAGGATATGTGGATGAGCGGCACTGATATCAATTGCACATTCCTGAATTAAAATGTTCTTATTTACTAAACTCCTTGCTCATTATAGTCCTGAGCCACTGGAGAGTTTGAAGCTCATTTGTTTGTCAAACATGTTTTATGAGTTAATTCCTCTGTCAGCATTACTGTGGATTTGTATCCACTGGTAAATGGGTCCTTCAACTTGCCTGTGCTGTCAAAGATTATGCAAATAAATAAACAAAAACTTGAGCTGTTATGCTAGGGACAGTAAGTCCAGTGTCACCCTTGTGTTAACAACCAGCATTACTGACTTACATTCCTTACAGATGAATGCTCATTATGAAATGTGTTGCTTTGTTTTGTTGGGTTTGTTTTGGTTAACAGCTGCTAACATACTGAGCCTATTTGTTTTCAAACTGACAACTACTCAGGACCCAGAACAATTTACCTTCTTAAATAAAGGCAAGAAGTTACTCTTCCTAGAATCTCTCCAAGATTTTTGATAAGTCTCCCATGCTGAAGTGGGATGAAAAGTTAGATACAATTAAAACTTTAGCAGAGCAGAAGTCTGCAGAAAAAGACTCATTTGGTGTTCTAGTTTTCATAAGCCTTGCTTTAGCAGTGTGTTTACATGTAGGCTTAATTTTCTGTTTCTTTGGGTCCAGTCATATGCTTAGGCTTTCACTGAGTCACACATTGATGAGATTTCTGGGAGTCTGGTCTTGGAATGCCAAGAGAATAAACTTGAAAAATGGAGAAATACAACATGTTTTCCAAGACTGCAATAAGGCCGTGAACCTGTGTCTCTATCTCCTCTACGCTGAGCAATAAATGATGGAAGAATCTGTCTCTTACAAAGTGATGCCCCTGTAGAAATTAAATTGCACTTAGAAAGGCACACATAGTGCTCATCCAGGGTGCTTGAGATTTGCAGGGTGGCTGGTTGCAACATCTGGATATGAATATCTTGCTCAGCCCTTTGTGAATCTGGTGCTGCCTACAATTACTCACCTTCAAGATAAACAAGGGAATCAAACTTTTTTTGCTGTCATTTTTAATAGTTTCTTTTCCAGAACCTCTCCTGCCCCTTTCCGTAATCTCAGGTCTCCCTTCTTCTTACGTAAAATAACAGCTGTGTTGCAGAGCAGCAAACTTGGCTGCAGATTTTGGATGCATTTTGATCCCCTCTTTCAATGTTGACTGGGATTTTATTCCCATTTTAATCCCATGGCTGTGTTTGGCAGTTTGTAAATCACACATGCACATCACTGGAAGGAGTGGATTGCTTCTATCTTAATCCGCAGCCTCTTGCTTTTATGACTCCTTTGTATCATCAGTCTTTATTTCCATCACAAGGAAAAAATGTCCTCCCCCAGCAGTGCTTCTGGATGAATGTGTTTTATTCTCAGCAGGATCAGAGGAATGCGATTTACAAGGGTTCTGGGCCCTCGGAATGCACAAGCATTGGTACTTCTGGAACATGCCTTTTCTATGATGGATGGGGCATATTATCTAAATGCTAATAAATACTGAGCCACAAATTGGCTCCATTTTTCTTCATTCCTTCACTGCCTGTGGTTGCTGAATGATGCTAAATCCAGGCTCAGACACATTGTGATACTAATTAGTTCCGATTTCTTTCTTTGTTCTTTCTGATAGGGCAATATGGATGTGCTGCCTCTGGGCATATTTATGTTCCAGTCTCCCTGGCTCATCTCCACAAAGAGTGCATACAGTTGGTGTGAGAGGGACAGGGAATGAAAGTGGTATAAATCTCATCTGGCACAGAACTCTCAGGTATAATTTAAAAGGGTCAGCTGGATTATATCTCCTAGTAAACTCTGTGGGACTTTCCCGTAAGGCTGAGGTCCTTTGATCACACACAGATGATACCAGATGATCTGCCAGATGAACTCTGGCAGATGAATACCTGCCACAGCATCTTCTGTGGCAACTCTCAGTGGTTCTCTGTAACCTTCTACATTTTAGATTCTTAAAGATAAGCTGATGAGTATTGGCTTTATCGCTTCTACGTTTGTGAAGTAGAGTTCACCTACAATTCTTTGTATTGAAGATGTTCTCAGTAAGAGCACCTGTTTGTTTTTGGCAGGAAGAAAAATAAACAAACCTCTCTGCATTGACATTATATACGCATCCTACAAATCTTGCATGTTGTTCCAAATTAAATTAAAATACAAAATGGAATTGTCTCATAGGCAGCCCCTCAGAAGGTCCTCTGACATCTTCTCTGAACTTGTGGTACCAGTGCTGATTTTGTAGCAGCAGACTACTTGGAATAACCTGGCACTTCAGTACTGGGAAGTAATCTGTCCTTTCTTAAAGACTGGGTTATTAAAGATTGAGAGTCTTTTCAGCCCTCTGTGAGATCACTAGCAATTTTCCATCTCAGAGAATTCAGATGTTTGCCCGGTTATTGTGGAAACACTTCTCAATTCAGCATAGTGGGAATAGCCTTTCTGAAGCAAAGGCAAAATGAACAAATACATATTTAAAATATCTGTGGCTGTCACACATTTATTCTGTAAGATATAGCAACAGGCTTTTCCTTCAGGTGGGCTTTGGTCTTCTACCAAAAGACTCCAGAAACTGAGTGTATTGAATGTGGCCAACAAAGGTCATGGGTGATTTGACAACAGTGCACACAAGGAGACAAAACTTGATTCACTCTTTGGTGTGGCAGACAAAAGCGTGCAACAGGCTGATTTGAAGCAAGGCTGGAGGTGGGTTTTTGTTTTTAATTATGCCAGTGATTAATTACAGAAAACCTTGTCCAGGCATTGCAGTTACTTCCTATGACCATTTTTTTTTGGTTGGGCTTGCCCTCTATTCTGTAACTCAAACGAGGGGTTGTATCAAGGATGTAGGTTATGGTCTTTGTTATAAATGAAATGAAACGATTCAAACGGTTTGTCCTGTAGGGTGAAAAAAATAAAAGTTGCATGCATTTATCCTGGGGAGTGGATGATGGACATTCTATAAGTGAAATGTAAAAGAGGAGCTTGGGGGGGGGAGAAATCAGTGCTCATGCTGTAGTGTCCTACCATCTCCTGTGGTCCTTGTTTGAAATACGCTTTTAATTTAATATTTCTCTCATTTATAGAATAGATAAGGGAGGAGATTTCATGCTTTTCTCAGTTTAGGCATTTCAGTAGCTTAAGAGAGTTTGTCAGTACTGTACTAATTGTACAGTCTGGCTGTGGTCCCTTGCAAAACCATCTCTGAGTGGAGATGCAGGCCCACATGGCATGCATCTGCTAGCTGTGTTTCTGTTACTTCTGTTCTCTGTGTTTATTTGTTTAGATCTACCTCTGGGCTCACCTGGTGTCACTGATTTCAGTAGGATGAAGCACAACTCCGAGTGTCTGGCTTCAGGGCTTTTATTCCTTGTTCATCTCTTCTAGGGAAGGCTGATAAAAAGTAATTCAAAGGTGCCCAGTGGGTGCAGAGCTACAGTAAGCTGACACTGTCTGTAAGCAGTGATGAGACGACCTCGGCGGTCCTGCAGTATGATCATACTCATCCAGATACATAGATGAGACAATCTTGTTAAATAATTGAAGTGGTATTAAGTTCAGGCCTCTCACATTTAGTACTTTTCAACTCTCCTGCCACTTATTTCATTGCTCTTTGCAGAGAAATTACACTTTTCTAGTTTTAGCATTTGTTCTGCTCTGTGCCACTGGCTCCCAGCAGCTCCTGCAGACCTCCCGACCTCCCTCTTTCAGCCTCTAATATCATGACTTGTTTCCATGGAGACCAGAGTAAAGCGATAAATAAATGTGGCTGGGAATAGCAAGCTTCCACCTTCTGCAACTGGGATAAAACCTGGGGAATCATTGCCTGGCTGTGTGTGACACAGAGCACAGAGGAGCCCCTGGTACTCTCGGTGGTTTGCAAGAAGGGCTGACATGGTATGGCTCAGCACCCCAAATATTCAGGGTACACTGATTTTCATGGCTGAAGAGTGTTTACTGAGCAACGTTATCTTCAGGTTGTGCGAGTGAAAATAGTGCTGGTGCTTCTCTTGGATCTGACTGATGGAGATGTAGCTTGGGAGCCTGAAACACTTGGGTTTGGGTCCAGTCGTGCTGGAAGAACATTTCTTATTCCTTCCTTGTGCTTTATTCATGAGGCTGTAATACTTTTGCAGCAATTGTAGAATTGTTAGGGTTGGAAAGACCACTAAGATCATCTAGTCCAACCATCAACCCATCACCACAATGCCCACTATGTCCCTCAGTGCCAACTGACCCTTTTCAGGGATGGTGACTCCCTGGGCAGCCTGTTCCTATACCTCACCACTCCTTCTGAGAAGAAATTCTTCCTAATATCCAACCTGGGAGGAAATTCCTTTCTGGGAATGGTTTATGTGCTGTCTGTCCCAGGGACGACTTTGTCATGGTTAAAGTTTTTATGTAATTTAAAAATTGAAAATTAAAAAAAATATATCAGGAGTGCTTCCCAGTGCCAATACTGTGTTTCATTCTCCCACACACTGGCATCTGGTTGCAGGTCCTGCAGGAATTGCTAGGGGATACTAA